CTCCACTAGAGGGAGCCACAGGCACAGATCATACAGCTGCATCAGAAGGAGCTTTTTGAGGACAGAGAAGCATCTAAACCCAGCTTTACTGTTGTTTAAATCACTGTATAGATGAACTTATATTACAGCACACTGACTACAAGGACGTCTTTTCTATTCACACACTTCAGAACAAGTCAATAAATCTCCCTTTTTCTGTAGGAGAATTAGGAGCAGACTGTAACGAGTTTTGTGTTCAGGCAGAAACAGTTTCATTTTTTTTCCCAGCAGCGAGATCAGAGATGTGATGTGATGCAGGTGTGTTTGCAGCTCCCTGGCGAGGCCCTCCGCTGCGTAAACAGACCCACTCCGTCTGAGCAATAAAGCCATGAATTTCTTTTTATCTTCAGCAGATATAAACAGCACAGAAGAGTGGCCTGTGCAGGAGCCATAAATCACCACTGAGGATGAGGTAATAAAGCACACACAGGGCGAGTCCATGACACACAAACAAGCCTCACTACCCCTCTTCAAACACAGCTGATGGGCAGAGCTGAGCACCGCTCTCTGAACTTCATTATTGAAGGAGTGGTGGTGTTTTTGTCTCCGTCCGTCTGTTAGCAAAACGTCTAATGAATCATTGAAGAAATTTTAATGAAACTCTCAGGAAGTAATTGCTAGATGTGCATCTACAGCTCATTAGGTTTTGGGGTCAACCCAGTTCAAAATGGCCACCACAGGAAAGCGATCATGACATAAAACTTGGATTGGTAACGGTAAAAGTTTATTAGCAATGCTAACAATGCTAAATTTTAGCATGAAACCAAAAATAAAGTATCTCTAATTTTCTCATTTCGCATCTTAAGATGATCTTAGTTTAAAACTGGTATGAATGATATAACAATAAAAAAAACAGCAGGCCTGTAGAGGAGGATGCTTTGCTTGGTAGATTTTTTTCCCTCCTACATGCAGACTGCAATAATTTAATTTTGCTCAACACAGAGAAAAGATGAAAAATGACTGAATCGTATTTGACGTCTGCTGATCGGTGTGATCACCTCATCACTATATCATCAGCAGACCATGAGAAACCTCCCCCGAACCCGTCTGCAAGACTAATTCCTGCAGAAAGAATAATATTTTCCTGGATCAAGACTGAGCGTGTTTCACATGCAACATCGGTGTGATCACATTTGCAGATAAAAGAGGAGTGTTCTTATTTCCTGCTTGTCGGAGGTGAAAGGTCATTTGTGGTTTTTACTTTTTTTTTCTTCCCTTATTTGACTGCATTATTAGGAAAATACCTCCTGAACAACCAGACTAATTTGAATGAAACCTTCATTAAGTAAAGAGTGGGTATTCCTCTACACGTGATCACCATTTGATGTCAAGCAGATTCAAGATGGCTGTCACAACTGAGCAATGTTAGCAAAACAGAAATAGCTCTGCTAATTTACCGATACTGAGTTAAAATTTGACCTGGGAGCAGCTGAGAAACACCAACGTGTCTCACAAGATCTGGATAACCTAAACCTCTAAATGAATTTTAATGACTAATCACTGAATGTACCTTTATAAATGATTACGAGTACCCGCCCCCAAAAAATAAATAAATAAATAAATAAAAATGGCCGCCACAGCCAATTGGCATTAGCCATTTCTAAAACGGCTACATTTTAACTTTACAGATATAGAGTTAAACTCTGTATGGTAGTAAACACACTNTCGTTGAAAATCGCTTGGTAAATGTACGATTGTTTCTCAGTTGTTTACTTTTGTTGTAGAGTTGTTTATTTTTTAAAAATGAAAGGTGCATTTTTTTGAACTTTGTACCCATGGTAACCAGCTGATAATAATTTGATGGAGATCAGATGGTTACCATGGTTGCAGGGACTGAGTGGGCTCCTGAGAGTGGGCTTATCAATGAGTTTCAACCCACGTCATGAGTTTTCTTGCGTTATTTAATGTTTATTCATTCTTTGGGTATTGGCTGTTTGCACAAAGTCAATAAAACATCATGTCTGCCTAGAGAAACGATACAGACAGTTTGATGACTGTCAGACCTCATTTTTGGAAAGGTTTCTTAAGCATTTGCACATTTACTCTCACTTGTGAAGAGAGATCAAAAGGTGTGTGTGTGTGTGTGTGTGTGGGGGGGGGTGTACACATTTCCACGTTCATTTCAGTTTTGATACATCCGGAGTTTTGCGTGGAAAATGGCGTATGCAAGGTTTTTATGTACGCACCGTTGATACATGAGGCCCCA